CCAAATATTGCATTTAACTCATTAATAAGAGAACCAGTAAGAGATTTTAAGTAGTTCAAAGATGAATCTGAAGAGCAGACAAACATATGGCAATAGTGTAGATACAAATTTGCTAATAAATGCAAAACTGGCCTCTTAAATAGAAAAAATGTTATTTTTGTCTCCAGGCAAAATTTCTATGCTGTTCTATGAACAGTTGTTATTTGATGCTATCATCTTCTTCTGAACTACAAAGTAGTTCAAAGACCCCTGTAGCATCACATCACTAGGAAGGTCCCCTAGAAACCATTTGTGGAAAGAATCTGTTTGCTCATTTCAAAAACTTGCCAGTTTTCCTTAATTTGGGGATGTCTGCAACCAGCTATTCTAAGAGTTCCTGAGATGGCTTTAAAGGAACCTGGGTGGGAATCTTAGCCTCAATACTTATCAGCTCTGTGAAATCAGCATTTCATCTCTTTGACTATCAGTGCCTTTTAGGATAGCAGTCTGTAGTTCATGGAGTATCTATAATGGATGAGATCATGTGTGTCTAAACCTCCTGATACAGTGTGTGACTCACAGCCATTCCCCAAGCAATAACTGTCATGACCTAATTATAATCAGCTGAACCAACCAAAGAATAATTGCTCAGTTTTTCTGTCACACCCAGCCATGAAGTTACATACACTATTAGGAAAAACCCAGGGGAAGGAAAAGTTGTGGCTCCCACAGAGTACGCTGAAGATGCCAGCCTGATTAGAGAAGGGCCCCTGAGAAGAAATGCAAGTGGATAACACCCAGCTTCTGGAGAACCCCTGGGATCCACACAGAGGAGACTTGGCTCTGTATGATCAGCACTCAGTGCAGAACAGAGTAATCCAGAATGTAGATCCCTGGGCCTTACCCTATGACTGTTGACTTTCTAAGAGGCAGTTGGGAATCTGTATTTTGTCCGGTTACCCAGATATTTCTTGAACACATTGAAGTTTAAGAATTACTGCAGATATAAGTATAAATCTTTTTTTTTTTTTTTTTTGGTGGTACTGGGGCTTGAACTCAGAATCTCACATTTGCTAGGCAGGTGATCTACCACTTGAGCCACTCTGCCAGCCCTGTTTTTGTGTTTTTTTTTTTTTTTCTAGATAGGATTTCTCAAAATATTTGCCCAGGCTAGCTTTGAATCATGGTCTTCCTGATCTCTGCCTCCCGAGTAGCGAGGAATATAGGCGTGAACCACTGATGCCTGGCATAAACCTTTTTTAATTAAAAAAAATTTTCAAATTTATTGAGGTATGTTTGACAAGTAAAAGTTATACACATTGAAGGTGTACAAAATGATGTTTTGATACCCTATGCATTGCGAAATTATTACCATAATCAAGGTAATTAACATATCCCTAAGAGTACATAGTTACTCTGTGTGTGTGTGTGTGTATATGAGTGTGTGTGATGAGAATTCAGATCTACTCTTTGACAGATTTCAAGTATGCATTACAGTATTATTAACTGTGTTGTACGTTAAGTCTCCAGAACTTAGTATCTCATGACTGAATCTTTGTACCTTTGACCAACATCTCATTCCTGCCATCTCCCAGTCCCTGGGAACCCTTCTACTCCCTGCTTCCGTGAGCTCAACCACTTTAGACTCCATGCATGAGTAATACCATGCAATATTTTTATGTCTGTATCTGGCTTATTTTACTTAGCGTAATGTCCTCTAGGTCATTATGTTGCAAATGGCAGGATTTCTTGGTTTAGAGTCATGTTCTTAAAACACAGGAGTCATGTGAAATACAGGCTTCCAAACATTATACAGCATACAACATACAACCGGTCTAGGATAAAAAGATGAGGTAAGCCTGAAGGCAGTCTTATAACCCATGGTGGGAGACAGGCCTTCACCTGGGTCTGTGTGAAGAATTAGACAGAAATCAGGGGCTACCACCATTATCATAAAAGGTGGAATTTAATGACTAAGTGCAAGGAGACTCAAAGAGAGAGGAAGTGCTCAAAACTGGTTTTAAGTCCAGATGAAGAGGAGAATAGAGACACATTGGCACAACTGAAGAATTGGGAATGGTCAATTTTGTAGAAAACAAGTTTGATTTGGAACATGTTAGAAGATGGTGATAATTTAAATGGAAACTTACAGGAAATAATTGAAATAATTGAGACCTGAAATGACAGGTCTCAGCCAGAACAAATGATGAAATTTTTATGGAACACCCTCAAATAAGGCTTCTTTGTTTTCTTACCCCTTTACAATTGTCAAAATGTTTGTCATTTCACACACATGAGCAACCTAAAACATTTGAAAGTGTTTTAAATTTAGGTATGATCCTCCTTGTAAAGAAAAAAAAAAGCAGTATCAAAAATATTCTTCAGAGATCAAAATGTGTGACATAGTTGATAAAGTGTTTGGTAAAATGCTTCTTTGCCGAACTAAATTTTAAGAGACTTCTTTTTCTGTCCTGGATTTTGAACTCAGGGCCTCATGCTTGCTCGGTAAGCACTTTACCAGTTGAGCCATGCCTCCAGCCCCTCAACTGAATTTTAAAATGATCCTTAGAGCTATTTGACTATATACCACCTCCTTCTACCCTGGAGTTAAGCCTGTTTTCAGGCTCAAGTGGCTCAATTCCCAACCATGCAGTGGCCCATTGAGAGGCTAATTAAGATACCTGGCTAATATGGGAACTGCCCTCTGAAAATTAAAAGTTAAATCCCAGTTTAGGCTGGCCCACTTATTCCCTTAACCCAAACTGTTTATTCCAAATCGTTTTGGTTACAGTAGAATTACAAAAGGGTACATGAGGAGACTTTTGACAGCTCTTATAAGTTCTGCATGCATCTACCAAACTACGAATATTTTAACAAAAAGCTTCGGGTTGCAAATGTTTTAATTTTCATATGATTCTACTTATAGCAAAAAGGAAAAACTCTATTATAATTACTAAGTATGTATGATAATTAAAACATTTTATTGGTCATATGTAAACAAAAAGATGCTATGTTACCGGAGGATAAGTTCTGTGATGCATTTCCAAACTTGAGACTGTACGCAGTCATGCAGGGACTATTTATGTACATTTTTATTGTTGTTTGATATCAGCAGTAAATACTTTCATGTAGTATAGCATACTACAGTGGACTTTGAATGGAAACACAATACTTAAGGAATTCACTATTATTAGATAAGTTTTCTCTTCTTGAATTTCTATATTACTATAAAATAACATTATTTAGAAGAAGTGTACTTTTTTTGCCCTTATTGGTCTGTGATATTTGTGATAATTTAAGGAGTTAATTAAACTTCTTATAAACTTTTTTAAGATTCTAATACAAAAAATTCAAAGCAGATTCAAATATTTTCTCTACTAAACACGTACTTGAACTTTTGAATTATCTCACATATGTGAAGAGTAGGTAAATACATTTACTTGTCATTTGACAAATACTTACAAAGCATCTGCTACAAGCCTACCCTGTCCTAGGTGCTAAGGATACCTCAGGAAACAGAGCCCAGCTGTGGCCATCAAGATCTTGGGCTTCCTTTATTCCATGGTGTGTCAATAATGGTAATATTTTACCTGAAAACTCTTAATCCAAGTCTCTGTAATATTGAATTAATTAAACTATAGATTGTTTCTAGAAACAGAGGTCACAGGAGTAATTCTGTTGCAGAACTGATCTTAACTCATCTTAATAAATTTCCTGGTTTTTTTGTTTTTCCTTTTCTTTTTTCATATGGGCATCTACATTTTCAAAAATGGGATTTGGCTTTCTTGAAAACTCACGTCACCTGTAAAGTCAATGTTTGTTTCCTTACGGCCATGGGCTGATGAGGAATGTGTGAGCCTGCTAATGCTAATTCTAAGACTTTTATAATTGATGTCTTTATAAATGTAAAATGATGCACTATTTTTAAAAATTCTACTTCCTTCAGTGACAGGACTTTTTTTTTTTTTTTGTAAGCAGCTCCATTTATTTGAGTAAATAGCTTGTAAATAAATCATTGATAAACATTACAAAATTAAATACATTTTCAAAAGCTTGCCAGTATACATAAAATTCACAAACATAGTTCTTTTAAAAAATAAAATATGTTCAAAGCACCCTTGATAGAAAATGCCTGGTCCCTGTCCTCAGACAGGGCCACCTGGAGACATCTTACAGTAGTCAGGACTTCTAGAAAGGCATCAGGGGCCTCCTGGAAGAAAGATAAAAGTTTTACTCTCAACTTTTACCCTGCCCACGTTCCATGTGAATTTTAATTCTTCTCCAAAGAGCTGGTATATAACTGAGGGGACAGTTTAGGTGCTGAGGCCTGTCCAAGCATGGCGATCAAGGTCAGTCACACTTAGAGCCAGAAGGCCCACAAGTTCCCACCATGAAGTACTGAGAGAAGCCAGAACTGCAACCACACTTGCAAACCAGAAAATGCTGCTCTATCAACTGTCTTGAGAGAAGATGAGGGCTTTTCATCTCTACACTTTGCTCGACACTCAGCTCCTAACTCTGATCCAACACCACCCAGGCACAGCAGGGGCTAGAAACCACTTCTTACCAGGAGGATGTCCAATCTGCTACTTTCCTTTTTATCTGCTTTCACACAGAGAGAATGATGCACAGTATTTGGTTGAAAGCAGCGTCAGTTGTCTCACTGGGCTTCCCTTTTCCATTGCAAAACACCACCAGATAGCATGGGTATTTCTCTAGAAGTCAGGTTAGTTCTTCAAATTAAGGGTTCATCAAACTTTAAGAGACCACAAATGGGGTAACAAGCCCACGGCCTGGCAAAGCATCCCGACCAATGAAATAATATAAAGTCCATAAACAAAGCCCTTGACCCAACTCAACTTTTTTGTAGTGTAGCTCATTAAAATAACGGATGCACTGGATCCTTTCAGTTTGGTGCCAAAAGTGAATGTTGATGGTCAACAGCACTTCCATGAAGAAGACTAATGGCCTCTCTATTCAGTGACAGGACTTTTTTTTTTTGACTGTTCATTCTTTTCCAGGTTTTAGGGGAAAAGCCAGAGCTTCCAGATGGAGACAACGATGATGACGCTATTGCAGACATAAATAACAGGAAGATGGCGAAGCTCTATATGGTGAGTTGTCTGTGATGGGCGCTGTTGTTTCTACCAGACTCTCCGTGGTGTGGAGGCCTGTATTGGAGGCTACCTTTGCTATAGTGGATAATTCTCCTTGTTGCTTTATAGAGAAGTGTGTAGGTAGAATCAGTTCTTTGCTCTTGTTTATTTATTAAAATTATTTTGGTGGCACTGGGGTTTGAACTCACAGCTTCACATTTGCTCAGCAGGTGCTCTACTGCTTGAGCCACTCCTCCTGCCCTTTTTGCTCTGGTTATTTTGCAGATAGGGTCTCACTTTTTTGCTCAGGTGTTGCTGGGATGACAGACAGGTGCTACGGAGCCCAGCTATTGGATGAGATGGAGTCTCATGAACTATTTGTCCAGGCTAGCCTAGAACATGATCTTCCTGATCTCTGCTTCCTGAGTAGCTAGGATTACAGGTGTGAGCCATTAGTGACTGGCAAATTATTATTTTTTATTGCTTTTTATTTTGGGAGTACTAGGGTTTGAACTCAGAACTTTGTGCTTTATTTGTTAAAAACAACAAATGAAGTTGTTGGTATGACTTACATAAAATCATATATTGTTGCTCTACAAGTTTGCAGTAATATATTGCAGTAAATAAAATGTTTCCATTGTAATATAAAACATTTTGTAAGCTTTTTCTTATAACTTCTTGATAAGATTATAAAATCTTCACCTTATGTAGAACATTCTATTTAGTCATAGTAAAGGCTTTCTCTGTTACAGAAGGGTTAAACCCTCAGATCAATCATCGGGAAGGAAACAGGGTAAATCCAGTCCTGTCCTGGGCACTGGGAGACCAAGAGCCTTGTGAGCTTTGTGGTGAATTACTGGCTGCCTGACTGTGGGACAGGACATAACTATTCTGGATCTTGATTTTCTAATCTTATAAAAGAGAAGGGAAGAGACAGACCAGATTTTCTGATCTTATAGAGAAGGGAAGAGAGAGAGAGAGAGAGAGAGAGAGAGAGAGAGAGAAAGAGAGGTAAGAAGGAAGGGAGAGAGGAGGAAAAGGAAGGGAAGGGGGTGATTATATTAGATGATTTCTTAGGTTTCTTCCAACTACATAATTTTATGATTTTATTGCTGGCAAGAGTGACAAAACCCACAAGATCACCAGTTTAAGGAGACTGCTAAAATGGGATTTTTTTTAGGTGTTCCCTCCCCTTACAACCTTCTAAGCAAGTCATTTGGAACGGACTGTGATCTCCTTTGTGGAATTTGCAGTTTTCTCATCTGCAGCAGGAAGGAGCTTTATTTGCTGCTCACTAACGGACTTCTTAAGTAACAAGTTCTATCATTTTAAATAAAGACTACGTTATTAACTTGTGTAACATACTTTCTCTTACAATGGGGAAGTGGACTCATTCTTCTTAGAGAGCAAAGGAAATATGGTTATCACTTCTGCTAAATACTGATAATTTTAACATGAGCAGTACAGAAATTATCTCAATACTTTGGGATTTCATTACCCTCTTAAACCTATTGTCAACAGTCTAACAAATATCTTGTATTTCATATCGTCAATCAAAACTGTTTTCTCTCTTGATCAGTATTATGGACTAAATAATGTTAATCTTGAATGGGAAAATGTTAATCTTGAATCATGGCTCCCTCTAGTGGAACTATAGCATATTGCACAATCTTAGATACAAAGTCTCTTTGAAAATCATTTGGGGGTCAAAAGACTGGGAAGCAGAATTGCCAGGGGTACTTTCTGAAAATGCAGAACACACACTTTGCCCGTGCTGCAAGACTCCACCACTGACAGGGAGGGCCTGGGATCTGTGCATTTAACAAGTGTGCAGCTCGCTACATTGCACCAACAAGCTCACCTCTGAAAACCAATGCATTCTAACGGTCTAACCGGCACATAAACATTACTTTCGATTCTGTAAGACCGTCTTCAAATTTAAAAGAAAGCTCTACTTCCAAATGTGATAGAAGAAATTTACTCTGACAATTTCTACAAAGTACAGTTAAAATTTAGGACCTATAGTGAAAATGTCTCTAAGCATAAACTAGATCATTTCAGTGCCTTCCTTAACACAGTGTCATGTAATAGACACATAGTAACCTGTCTGAATCAATGTTTATACGCCTCAGCTTTTTGTGTGTATATGAGTGTAAGATATTATCACTTAAAATCCACAGCACATGATGGTTAGTACACGTAGCATCTCCGTAAACCTCAGACATTGTTACCGTCACCATTATTTCTGATGTTTTAGTGAGAGTGTCAGAGCTTAACTTTTTTTTTTCTTGTGGGACTGAAGTTTGAACTCAGGGCTTTGCACTTGCAAAACAGGCACTCTGCTGCTTGAGCTACACCTCCAGACCATTTTGTTCTGGTTATTTTGGAGATGGGGGTCTTACGAACTATTTGCCCAGGCTGGCCTTGGACTGTGGTCCTTCCCATCTCAGCCTCTCAAGTAGCCAGCATTCCAGTGTGAGCCACTGGTGCTCAGCTGTTAGCATTTTATTAGTGGTTCTTTTACCCTCAAAGGACTTTAAAAAAAAAAAAAAACTTTTGGGGAATAATTCAACTTACCGAATCTTTGTTTTGAAACAGTTTTATTAAGATATTATATATTTATAATATATAATATAGCAAAATATATACTGCAAAACTTATGCTCTTAAAGTACTCAATTCAATTTCAGTACATTTACAGAGTTGTGTGACAATCACCATAATGTAATTGCTGAGCATTGATATCCTCCCAAAATGAAACAGTGGAGCTCGTGGTTGTTGTTAGGTTTCAGATGCAAGTGGATCCATGAGCGTGACGGTGGTGGCGGAGGAAAACCCCTTCTCCATGGCCATGCTGCTTTCTGAAGAGTGCTTTATTTTGGACCATGGTGCTGCAAAACAAATTTTTGTGTGGAAAGGTAAAAGATGCCATTGACATTGTTGCTACATTTCAGATTTATGATAGTTCCTCGAGAAGGTAAAGAAAACATCTTTTTTTTAATTAAAAAAAAAAGCCTACCTTTTGAGATACGATCTGTAAATATCTCACCTAAAATGCATCTGTGTTCCTCCTACCCCCATCATTTAGCAGGGACTATGGAGTTACAGAAAGCATTTAGGTGATATTAAAAGACTTTTTTTATATAAATACTGTTCATTTCTGTGTTACTAAATATATTTAATGTACTAGGGAAGTTTTGCCATTCTCATTTGCTATATTAAAATGAAATCATGTTTATTTTTGATATACAGATATTTCTTAGTCGTATAATATCTTCCCTGTCTGAAATTTTGTCTCTTTAATTTACCTTTTATTGTAGGTAAAGATGCTAATCCCCAGGAGAGGAAGGCTGCGATGAAGACAGCTGAAGAATTTCTACAGCAAATGAATTATTCCACCAATACCCAAGTATGTGCAAAAAGCAATTGGCTAGAAAAAAATTATAAACATGGGAGTCATGACATCTCCACAAAACTTGCTTTGTGAAAAACTTGCTTCAAAGTAATGTATATTTGTGTGTGAAGTCGTTCTCCACTGGAGCATGAGCAATCTTGTGTCATATGTCCCCACTACTTTGTATGGTGACAGAATTTTGAAAAAACTGGAAGTCAGAACTTCTATAGGGCTGCATGATGAGAAAAGACCCATTTGTTTCCTCCTTAGCCTTTAATTCCAGATAATCAACCACAGTTGATGTAGCTAAGAACACTTACCATTTATTCCTCAGAGCAAGTTGTGTGGACTTATCTTCATTAAGATCAGCTTAGATACTGGCTAGTACTTTCTTTCCTTTATGAATCTCTCATCCTCATTTACCCCTTTTATTTTTTTTGTCCTATCACAAGAACACAATCAGATGATTTCCTCCAGGTCACAGATCTTTTGTGAACCTTATTTAGAGAAATTCATTTGACTGCCATGGTAACATATGAAAGAAGTTTATTCTTATCTCTTATCATTCATACTCAGTGGCAACTGCTTTACTTGTAAGAAAAAGTATGGTTAAGTTGGATTGTTTTACCTTTACAAATTTCTAAATTTATGTCTGTAATCATAGGAACCAGGACACTCTTTTCATTTCCTCACTTCTTTCTCCACCTCTGTTTATCTTTGATCTCTTATCTTCCTATTTACTATTATTATTTAAAATTTCAGATTCAGGTTCTTCCGGAAGGAGGTGAAACACCAATCTTCAAACAGTTCTTTCAGGACTGGAAAGATAAAGATCAGAGTGATGGCTTTGGGAAAGTATATGTCACAGAGAAAGTGGCTCGGGTACAACAAATTCCATTTGATGCCTCACAATTGCACAGCTCTCCACAGATGGCAGCCCAGCACAACATGGTGGACGATGGTTCTGGTGAAGTGGAGGTATTTACATACTTGTTTGTATGGAACCCATTTATGCTGGTATGTGTGGGAATATAACTTTAGGAAACCTCAAACAGTTTAAAATGTGAACTTTCCTTAGCAATAAATGATGGAAGGTAAAGTTGGAAGAGATACTGTCTGATCTTTACTGTCCATTTTATACATGTGTATTGAGATCCCAAGAAATTATATGTGGTTTATTTAAAGACCTGGTGTGGAAGTTGGCCATCTTTCTTCCTGGTCCAGAACAGCCTCACTTTTAGAAAGCCTGTGTCTGGTGTAGTCTAGTGGGAGTGTTGCTCTGAATGTACTAACTACCTTAAGTTTTTCCTTCTTCCGCGTATTGGAGGCATTTATGAAAGCAAAATGAATATGTGTGTGTGGTAAAAAAGAAAAACAAACAGTTTTTTTTAAAGGATTCAAATTGTGTTTGCTGATTTATTCAATTTTAGATTAAAATATTGCTAAAAATACCCTCATCATTTTAATTCAAATCTCTTCATACTCAAACCATTTTTTAATTGTCTAACTTAAGGAGAACTGGATGATGTTAACTTCCTTCTGAAATATTTTCATGCCTTTCCAGGTTTCCTGAAAATGTCTGTTGTCAGCTAGGCTTATGAATGCTTGGTGACTTGACCTTTGCTCCCTTTCTGCTTCACCTTCTAGCACCATGAGGGCTAGACTAATTTCCCCTCGCCATCTGGCTAATGTTCTCACTGTCCTTGACAACTCAGTATAGACACAAACCATTCCTCTTCTGAGAAGCTTTTCCTTGGCTTCTCCTAGTGCTCATCTCAGAAGTGACGTTTTTCACAGGATTTATCATGTAACTAAATTTCCTACAAATTTCTCCTAGCCTTCTCTTCAGGTCCTCAAAGACCTGTATTTCTAGGGATTAACCACAGTGCTGAGACCAAACTAAATAATCGAGAAATTTGGAGACATTTTTTTTTTCTCTTTTCAAAGAAATAAAAGTATGGCTCTCAGCTTCATGGGGGTTGGGAAGTGACAAAGGAAGGGCATGAATGTCCCTCACAGCTGCCACCAAAGGGATATCAACTTTGGGTCTGAGTCTGTCTCCTGTCACACATTCTTTCTGGATCTCAGCACAGGCAACATGGCCAGAGGGCACTCACTACAGATGTGGTGGCTCCTTATCTCCAGCTATGTCTCAGATGCCACCTCCATCTCTTGCCACACCTTCTTCAAGATGTCCTCTTGTGCCATGCTTGTGTTGCTGAAATCCAGTGACTGTCTTTAGACTCCTGGGTTTGGCAAGGCTATGCTGCTGGCCCCTTTGCTCACCACATGGCACAGGAAGGCTTTTTTCTAGAAGCACTGCATTGTTCCTCCAATGTCTCACTCCATATTTCAAGGCCAAGTGCTGCCCAGAATCCAGGCAGGAGGGTGCACCATGTGCTGTACACACAGTGCCTGGCCTCCTCTTGCTGGTTATTTTCCTCTTTCATCTGCAACTCTCATCTCTTCAACTTGGAGTGCCTTTAGTCTGTGAAGAAGATGAGGAGGTAGGACTGCTTTTATCCCCTGTCATATCTTTTCAGTTTTATGCCTGGATGGTCCTTTTTTAAAAATGGAAGTTGTCTTATTGGCATCTGTCTTAGTCTATTCAGGCTGTTATAAAAAAATAATCATACTCTGGGGGCTTAAACAACAAACAGTTACTTCTCCCAGTTCTAGAGGCTGGGGAATCCAAAATTAAGGTGTTGATGGATTCAGTGTTTGGTCAGGGTTCTCTTCCTAGTTCATAGACAACTTCTTTATGCTGTGTTGTGCATGGTGGAGAAGGAGCTGGAGAACTCTCTGGGGTCCTTTATATAGAGAATCAGTACCCTTATATCCATCGTCATGACTTAATCACCCCCCAAGAGGCCTACCTCCCAACACCAGCACATTGGGGTTAAGCTTCAACCTGAATCTTGTAGGGACCATTGAATTGAAGCAGAATTCTTATTCGGTCACAGTCTATCAGCTCTTGCCTTGGAAAATAACAGTCTCATGCCTTAAAACACTGGAAGAAAGAAAAAACATTTTACAACAGATGAAAAAATTTTATTGTAAAGTTATGAGATGTATTTCTGGGCTGAAGATTGCAGTTTGTTATTCCACCAGAATGTCATGTTATTTTCAGTAGCTGATCAAATAATAGATATTTATTAATTAGCAGGGTCAGAACTGAACTAAATATTGTGGAAAAGCAAAATAAATCAAAGTACTTGAGAAAGCAACAAATTGCCAAATTGATCACCTTTCTTTCTTGGTTTGTAAACTAGTTAGAAAAACAGCATAAAAGAGTTTTTAAATAATAGATTTAAACTAAAAGTTATTTTAAGCCTGTGACAAGTATCATTAGATCAAGAAAATTTTAACATAGTACGAATGTTCCATTTCTTTCAGATCTGGCGTGTAGAAAGCAATGGTAGGGTTGAAATTGACCAAAACTCATATGGTGAATTCTATGGTGGTGACTGCTACATTATCCTCTACACCTACCCCCGAGGACAGGTTATCTACATGTGGTGAGTGTACCTTGTCCACCAGAGCTCAGGTTCCACAGGGGCCAGGTATGGCCCACATTATTAAGTCCATGCAGTTCAGGGTAGAGCCATCCTCCAGTCACCCCAGTGAGCTGTGTAGGATGCATGCACTACTCAGATGGATTGTTTTCACTATGGGGTGGTTTCCCCAAAATAGACAGGTGCAACTTAGAGTCAGACAGACAAGATCACTTAGTTAAGTTCGGTAAGGAGCTAAGGCTCACTTTCTTTTTTTTTTTTTTTTTTTTTTAATTTTTTTTTCTTTTTCTTTTATTATTCATATGTGCATACAAGGCTTGGTTCATTTCTCCCCCCTGCCCCCACCCCCTCCCTTACCACCCACTCCGCCCCCTCCCTCTCCCCCCCCCTCAATACCCAGCAGAAACTATTTTGCCCTTATTTCTAATTTTGTTGTAGAGAGAGTATCAGCAATAATAGGAAGGAACAAGGGTTTTTGCTGGTTGAGATAAGGATAGCTATACAGGGAGTTGACTCACATTGATTTCCTGTGCGTGGGTGTTACCTTCTAGGTTAATTCTTTTTGATCTAACCTTTTCTCTAGTTCCTGGTCCCCTTTTCCTATTGGCCTCAGTTGCTTTAAGGTATCTGCTTTAGTTTCTCTGCATTAAGGGCAACAAATGCTAGCTAGTTTTTTAGGTGTCTTACCTATCCTCACCCCTCCCTTGTGTGCTCTCGCTTTTATCATGTGCTCATAGTCCAATCCCCTTGTTGTGTTTGCCCTTGATCTAATGTCCACATATGAGGGAGAACATACGATTTTTGGTCTTTTGTAAGGCTCACTTTCTTTAAAATGGAGATAAAAATGCCTGCTGTATCTGGTTCTAGAACAATGAACAGGACAATTCAAGGTTCAGCGTTAGTACTTTCAAACCAGCAATAGTTTTGATGGCTCCTGTCATGTCAAAACAGTTGGTTTTTTCTTGATCATTCACAATAAGTTAAGTCTCCTTTTGAAATGTCTACGTTGAGTAGGGGTTAAAACTTAAGTACAAGTTCAATTATGTTACTGTCGTTTCTCTAGGCAAGGAGCAAATGCCACGAGAGATGAGCTGACGACATCTGCATTCTTGACTGTTCAGTTGGATCGGTCCCTTGGAGGGCAGGCTGTGCAGGTTGGGATATTTTTACCCTCAAAGTCACACAAATTCAAATTTTGGTAGTTCAGTTTCTTTTCTTTTTTTCTTGAGAAAGTTGCCCAGGGTGGCCTTGAACTCTCCATCCTCCTCATCAGCTTTCCATGTTCTGGGATTACAGATATGCATCATCAGGACCAGCTCTGCCAGCCTAATTTCTAGCTAATGCTCCCTTCCCATATTAAGATGGGAATTCAACATTTTCTTGACATTAACTTCCTTTTTTATTTTTGAATTTAAATATTCCTACCCTCATACCATACTAGTGTTCTCACATTCTGAAAACAGAATGTGTAATTACACATTCTGAATGTGTAAGAGAAAGTGCACAAAAGCAAAATAAAAATGAAAAGATTAACCTATTTAAGAGTTCCAAAGGATCTTCCCTTTAGAATCATACCATATGTTGATGACAGTCATTTGGCATTAAAACAGTTATTACCTCCAGCTGTTGTTGAACAATTCTGATAGGTGAACAATGGTCCCCATACTTGTAGATCCTACACCTGAGGAATTTGCGAAAGTGTTATGTTACAAGAGGGGTAGTGGTTGTTCATTTGCTGACCTTAAAATGGCGGATTAATCTGTGGTTAGTAAGTGGTGCAGTCTAATCACCAGGTCATTAGGAATAAACCGGGGAAGCAGCAGAGTGAGACGGGTGCAGAATGAGGAGCACTCAGCTGGCAGTTGCTGGCTTTGAAGGAGGAGGGGGCCCCCAGCAAAGGGATGTGGGCAACCTCTAGAAAAGCCAAGGGAAAGACTTCACCTGTAGAGCCTCCAGAAAGCAATGTAGCCCTGCAATGGCTTGATGATAGTCTGGTGACTAAATTCTTTCCTCAGATTTTAGCCCAATGACTCAATTAGCCTGATAACCCATTTCAGACTTAACATCCTCCAGAATTGTAAGATAATAAATGTGTGTGTGGTAGTTTGTTCCAGAAGCAATGGGAAATAAATACAATAGTATAGAACAAGCGCAGATGAATAATTCTGGTTAATAGGTAAAAAAGTCGAACAATAGTTCATGTGTTCTCAAATCATAAATGTTCATAAATTAGGCTTTGCACAGGCAAACTGAAATTAACCTTGAAAGTGGTAATGGATCATTACTTGTAGGTTACAGATCTTGACTGAAACAAAGCCTAACATCCAAAAGTAAGGAGAAGAGAAGGACAGAAATGGGAAGGGAAGGGAGAAAAAGAAAAGAGAGATAGTGGAGAAAATAGACAGAAAAGAGTGGGGAGAGAGTCTTGAGGAAGAAATAAGGGAAACAAGAAGCAGAAGGGGAAGGGAAAGATTGGTGTGAGTGAGGAGAGAAGTGAGTATTTATTTGGGTATTTCTGAAAATGAAAAAAATAATTTGTAGAAAATGACTGAACCCAAATCCAAAATTACAATTCCATATAAATATAGATGAGCCAACTTTTTAGAGAGAAAGAGAGAGAAGGGGATGGGAAGAGATAATATTTGACATATTTATTACAAACAGACAATATCAATGCTTGCTTCTGGATCTTGTCACTGTGTCTAGGAGGCTGTTTCTAGCCTCATCAAGCATTCTTTCCTCTTCTCAAGTTCAACTGCTTCTTCTCCATTTATGCTGGAGTATCTGCTGCTTGTTTCAGCAGCAGATATTAGTAAACACAGGAAATTCTTGGTGTTTGCTTATTTAATTCCTTAATCTAAACCTGAAATGTGTCTGTCTACTCTCTTGCTAACCCCAGGAGAGGCACTTGCTTGTTCCTTGTCCCCATAGCTAGTTTAGGTATCTCTTGTCTGTCTCTCTGTCTTTACAACTGGAGTGGTTTGCACTGCTAGTAAATACTTAAGGCAAGTTAGATGTCTTCTAAATGTGTATAATGATTTTTAATAAATTAACTTGATAACATTAATGTTAATTAATAATATGCTTGGATTCTTTAAGTGTACTCAACTCTGTTTCCTCATGAAATATATTGATTTCCCGCTGAGAACTGATGCATCTTTGCCATTTAGTTGAGCCTTAACATGTTTCTCGCCAATTTATTGAAAAACTTTGAAGGTATGCACCTTACATATTCCTTATTTCATAGTACAATAATGATTTACCTAATTAAAGGATTTCCATGAACTGTTAGCCAGTTGAATCTGAAATTGACAACAAAATGGTATTTTTGACTTTCACTAGATGGCAGTAGTTCACAATAATGCTTAAAAAATTGATGTCCCACACTGCAGTTTAAACATCCCTGAAAAAAATTTAACCTACCTGCTCTCTCTCTCTCTTATTTTTTCATGCCCCCTTGCTTTTATGTTGACAGTTAAAGATTTCTTGGGGTTATGTGACATGCTAAGCAAATGGTTTTAAGCCCTCTCTCTAATCCAAGTCCCAAGCTCCGTGACTGTGACTGATGTTTTCATAATTCACTGCACACTTACTTGGATGCCTGTAGTTAAAACATATTTATGAAGTCAGTTATTTTCAGTGCTCCTTAGGCTTCCTGTAATGCATTCATTTGCATCTACCTGCCCTCTAGAAAAAAGAGCAGGGGAGTTGAGAGTTGAGATAGTTCAATTTTAGTACAGGGCAGAACAAATGAAAAGCATGGGACTGGACCTGTATCTGATCTCTTTAAGTAAAAAATGAACCAATTGTTTATGTGAGAAATAGGAAATTCTAGTCCAATATTTGACATTAATAGACTACTTCAAGCAAATAATTTGCCATTTATTTTCTTCAATTTCCTGTGCCTTGAAAAGTCCTTATGTTATATAAGGCGTAAGTTCCTTGTATTGAAGATAGCTATTGTTACCATTTCTATATATAAGTTAAAAGGCAGAAATTATATACTTGGTTCCTTTTTGCTAGCTTTTAATGCTTCATCTCACACTTAGAGGATACAGTAACAATGAATAGGGTTCTATGTTTTTATTTTTTGAGGCATTTGAACACACAAGATCCAATACCCATGAGAATCTAGTACATCTATAAATATCTGAAATGTTGGTGCTCTTGGAAGAAGAGTAATTTTCATATAAGGTTGCAGATGCCAGCCCTTTCTTGTTTTTGTCGTTTCTCTTTTGGAGATGTAGATGGACAAAGTTACATCTTCCTGCTTTCTAAAAGCAGAAGGTGTTGCATGGATGCTATGTCTGGGTGACATAAGATTATTAAGTGATGGTGGGAGATGTGCTGGATTATTACCCATGTCTACTGTCTGTCAGTCATCATTCTTCCTGCTCCTGACGTTTGGTGTATTTTTTGCTTTGTTTTCAAAATGGAAAATGAAGAGCACATTTAGAACACTGCACTCTTGATTGTATTTCTCTTATTCCCTGCGCGTTCCATCCAGGTCCGTGTCTCCCAAGGCAAAGAGCCTGCTCACCTGCTGAGTTTGTTCAAAGACAAACCACTCATCATTTACAAGAATGGAACATCAAAGAAAGGAGGGCAGGCACCTGCTCCCCCTACGCGCCTCTTCCAAGTCCGGAGGAACCTGGCATCCATCACCAGAATTGTAGAGGTAATGCTGGGCATTCAGTGAAATGTGCCCTGGTTATGCACTTCCCAGTGGACCTGACCTTCAGCAAATATTAGCCTCCACACAAGCACACATCATTCATTTCTATAATAACTACTCTGTTCACAATTAAAAAAAAAAAAACACTGAAAGCAGGAGAGTTGAGTAAAAACTTAAACTCCAGGGACCAGGCTGCAGTGAACCCAAACAAATGAACTTTAAGAATACTGTAACAGGGCTAGAAGTGTGGCTTAAGTGGTAGAGTGCTTACTTAGCAAGGGTGAAGCCCTGAGTTCAACCCTCAGTATTGCAAAAAGAATACTGAAACAAATCGAACTGGTCAAGGCAGGAGGCAGCTCTTATTTTGGAAGGTCTGGTGAAGAAGAATTGTGGGTAGGTGATGGTCAGGAGACTTGCGACACGGGGAAAATCAGAGAAGGATGTCCCTCACTTGTACAATTCATTCCTTCATCCTGACTCTTCAGTATGGTGGGTCAAGCAGCATCATTTGGCACAGTGGTTTCCCCTTGTCTTTTGGGGGATGGGTGAATATTGGGGATTGAACTCAAGGTCTCTACCCTTTTTTCTTTAGTTTGTTTTTCACATAGGGTCTCCTGCATTTGCTAGGGCTGGCCTCAGAGTTTGACTTTCCTGTCTCTGCCTCCTGAGTAGCTGGGATTACAGATACATGCCACCATGTCTGGCTTTACCCCTTCCTTCTTGACACTTCTTGACACATTCTCTTCCCTTGGCCTCAGGATAGCCACAATTCTCTTTTCTTCCTCTTTATTGGTTGCTCTTTCTCAGTCTTGCTTTCTGGTTCTGCTTTGTCCTCTGGGAATCACACATCACACTCAGCTCCACACCTATGCAGAAAGTCCTACACAGTGACATAGCTACACAAGCACATGGTCAGACAGGTTCTCAGAGATGGACATGGGGTCACCAAATCCCCAGGTCACAGGCCCAAGCCTGTCCTAGGACCCTCGTGCTCACTGTCACACCTGAGACTCTGCACATGCCTTGCCCCTGCTCAGCGGTTCCACTTTTAGCCCCATCTCAGGTCAGAGTCTGAGCCCTGAGAGGCCTTCCCGCTCCTGTGTGGCCACAGGGACCCCAACTGGGCTCATCCAGCCGATCCTCAGGCAGCTTCCACTGTTTCTCAGTTAGAAAGAAGAAATGTGCCAGTGCTGGTTTTAACCCTTATAAATAGTTTGTTATAATTTAAGCTATAATTTATCCAAGGCTTAAGAAGTTTCAATGAATCTGTACTGTTATCTCCTTAGCCCTTCATTGGACTCCAGTTCCTGTTTTATGGTTTTTAGGTTCCCCCTTGATTGTTCATCAAACCTCTCTGTAGTGTGGGGGAGATGGGGGCAAGTGAATATTTTCATTTTATGTGTGCAATTTGAATGCACACCCTTCCAGTCTTCTACATAGCTCATCCTTGTCCTTATGGTATTTAAAATATTATTTTTATTACTTTTCTAATCCTGAACTCTTTTTCTTTTCTTTTTAAAAAATTGGGGTTTTTTGGTGGTACTAGATTTGCTAGCAGGCACTGTACCGCTTGAGCCACTCCACCAGCCTTTTTTTTTTTGTTGGGTATTTTCAAGATAAGGTCTGAAGAACTATTTGCCCAGGCTGGCTTCGAACTGTGATCCTCCAGATCACTGCCTCCTGAGTAGTTAGGATTACAGGGATGAGCCACCAGTGCCTGACTTTTTTTTTTTTTTTTAAACTTTTGAGACAGTGTCTGACTATATAGCTCAAGGCAGCCTGGAACTCTTGATCCTCCTGAGTGCTGGGATTATAGGCATGCACCATGCACCACGCCTAGCTAAAATCCCTCACTTCTTGAGTGACATCATTCTTCGAGCCTTGTCCCACTGTCTGAAGGCATTGAGCGTTAAAATGACAGAGCGCAAGGTGCTCCTACTGGAGTATTTTAATCGGGTGTAGAGCTATTCTGAATTAATTTCCTGGGCTAGGGCAGAAGGCTACTTGTCACAGTCACACCTTCTGGGAAAGGTTTATTGAGGGAGGAACAATGGATTTGAATTATTGTGCTAATTTTCTTCATGCTGTAGGTGGATGTGGATGCAAATTCATTGAATTCCAATGATGCTTTTGTCCTGAAACTGCCACGCAACAGTGGCTACCTCTGGATGGGGAAAGGTGCCAGCCAGGAGGAGGAGAAAGGAGCAGAGTATGTGGCAAACGTCCTCAAGTGCAAAACTGCACGGATTGAGGAAGGCGAGGAGCCAGGTGCGTGCAGTAGGGCAGAGGACACTAACTGGATTTACACTTGACACCAAGTAGCTAATGGACGTTCTTCATAGACAGGCATTTTAGGTAGTTAGAGGGGGTTAAGAAGCCCTCATTAGTTGCAGAAGCAGGTGATGGCACCTGATATAGTTAAGTAACTTCTTAGCATTGAAGTTATGATGAGATGATATTATTATGATAACAAAATAGCACCCACTGTGTGCTCCCGGGTGTGCACTGGGTAACCTGTGTGTCTTCTCCAGAGGAGTTTTGGAGCTCCCTGGGAGGGAAAAAAGACTACCAGACTTCACCGCTGCTAGAGACACAGGCTGAAGATCATCCACCTCGGCTGTTTGGCTGCTCCAACAAAACTGGAAGATTCACTGTAAGTGTCTTCAAAAATGGGGGACCCAGAGGGAGGCTTGTAACAGCTTATCTGCAAACCATGGGTGGCAATCATGGCTCCATACAGGGTAGTTTAAAGTCAGTGGTGTAAAAATAGATGTGAAAGTGTCCAGAATACTGTCAACTAGCATACAAATCAAACTAGCTGCTAATGCTGTCAGTGTTCAGCGTTGCTGTATGAATTGTATATGGCTGGATTTTCTAATTTAGTAAGATAACTTTCTGTAGGTAGCAGTGATTTCTCATCTAACTAAATTTTATACTTTAGTTTCCCAGGGGAATAAAAATGATGACTGAATGAAAACTGTTAATGGATCATTGAACAAAACTCACAGAAAGCTATATGTGCACCTGCAAATTAACTGAAATCAACAGGAATGTTTTATTTTAGTCATTTATAGGCAATTAAAAGTAAAGTTCGAGGGATCTATGTAAATGCCTTAGTTCAGGCTGCTGCAACATAAATACACTAGACTGGATGGTTTAAGCAGCAAGTATTTATTTCTCACAGTTCTGGAAGCTTCTAGGACTAAGGCCCCAGAAGGTCTGTTGTCTGGTGAGGGTGGATTCCTGTTCTGCCCACTGTATCCTCCACGGCCCAGAGTGAGCTCCAGTCTTCTTCTCTACCTCAGCTAAACTCAGTCACCCTAATACCATCCTACTGAATGTTATGGCTTCAACCTGTAATTTAAGGGAAACAAAAACATGTGGTCCCTAATAGTACAAGGTTGATTTTATATCAGTTGCTGAAGTATCATCCTGGGCTATGGCCTTCCACCTCAGTGTAACCAGAAAAATTCTTCCACCTCTGACATGATAGACTGTGTGTGAAATTAAAGGATGAATTCCATTTCTATATAAAATTTGATCTTCAAATTCACTTAACAGGATGAATACAAGCTTTATTTTTAATACATACAAAAGAAAATTTCCAGAGTACTTTACCAGACACATTTATTGCTAGAAATAAATGCTTTGAAAAAGAAACCTAATGTACCAAGCACACTTGAATCTTAGAAGTGATCTTACCTAAAAATTAAAGGTGTTAGTAGTGGGTTGAGATACATGTTTGGTTGTTGAAAGTACAGATTGTAACCTACTTTGTAGGAAATCTGTGTACTTGCATTTTGTAAATTTGTTAATGGAAAGAGCTGCTATTTTATTGTTTTTACCATTATTTGGATATTGCATTCAAACAACTTTTTTTTGTGGCATATTGCTTTATGCAGGGTATATGTAGTTTCTTATCAGTGTTATTTACTAATATTGCTGTAAGTTAGATGTTTTTTCTAAGGAAGAGATAGTTTTTAAAAGTGTATCTTACAAGTACCTAAGATTTGTTCTTGGTCAGGTTTTCTTTCTTTCTTTTTTTTTTTTTTTGTCATACACATGGGTTATCCTTTATGAGGAATACATATTTCCTGTGTACTAACTCATTTTCTTGTTTGTTACTTGGAATCCCTTCTGCTTACTTTACAGTTTAAGATGAAGAATTGTCACTTACAAGTGTTGGATATTACTATCTGAAAGCAGATTTTAGACAGTAGCTTCATACAAGGCCTTGGAGTCTGTTAGCTAAAACCACAGTTTTTAGACCCAGTCTGCCCATGTGATATCATTTCCCTGGTGACATCACTACTGGTGATATTACTTACTGGTCAGGTGATCTTAGGCTGGTTCCTTATCCTTTCTTTGCTGTAGTTTCTTCATCTGTAAAATATGGAAAGTCTGAGTACCTACTTTGTATGGTTGTTATGAACATTAAGTTAATGATTGCATATAAAAGGTTAGAACAGTGCTTGGCAGAGGGGATGTGATATTTAAGGTTTTTGTTTTTTAAAACCATTATGTGATTGGTAAATATTCCATGCCAAGATAATATAAAGAAATTCCTTGCTTTCTGTGACTGCGCAGTGGTTTTTTTGTTTGTTTGGGTTTTTTTTTTTTTTTTTTTAAATAAGGATCTCAAAATGTCATCAGAGTATAACAAACATGAGGTATGCTTAGAAGTTGGAGGTTGCCTGGGAATAGTCTTCTTTATTCTGGGCTCAGCCTGGAGTTCCACTCTGGGATGCAGGTTAGATTTTGCCAGTTTCCTCTGAGACAGAACCCAGGCACTCAAGCAGGGCCCTGCTGAGTCACATTTGCTAATAGGACAGGGCCAAGGCCATGGTTAACACCTGATTGGCTGCACTGCAAAGTGATATGGCAGAGAGAGGGAGTGAAGAACTGGGGACCATAATCCTGTCTGTCACTCCTTCCTGAAGATCAGGGGAGGGTTTCATTCAGAATTACATTTATTAAAATACTAACTCTGGCTGAATACTGCCCCCTGGTATTGAGTGGCACTAACCTTCCCCATTATCATTAAATGTTTAATATAGAGAAGACAATTTAACCCCATTAAAATAAAAATCAGGAATTTTTGCATGTGTTGTATTATGTTATAATATCATCTTATTGAAAATTATTGATTAAAATGGCCAGGTCTATTGACTTTTATTAAAATGGTCTTGATCTATAAAATGAAAGACAATTTATACCCAAACTGTAAAATCAAGTGTCTTTAGACATGAGTAGGCAACGAAACCTGTGAAGCCACTTGTCACAAAGAACTGCAATCCAGAGAAATGTGGTCAGATTGGCTGCATGTGTCCTTCCTGAAAGCATTCAAATGCAGAGTTTGTATTAAGTAGTCCACTGACCAGACTGCCTTGTCAGTTTGTCATTAGGTGAGCAATTATTTAAATTTCTGCTACCCAAAAAGAAGAATAAAATGACTACTAGGGGTTTTCACTGGCCTCTAAAATAACACGAGGCATTTGTATCATGTATCAGAAAAAATCTTGCTGTGCTGCGTGGTCATAAGGGTCTCGGTACATTGCAGATTGAAGAGGTCCCAGGAGAGTTCACCCAGGACGATTTAGCGGAGGACGATGTCATGTTACTGGATGCTTGGGAACAGGTAGAAGCCATATTTTGCTTATAGCAAAAGAATGTACTCAGGGGGAAACAGAATTTGCTTTAAGAAATGGAAATTCTAAAATTAAATGGGCCCCAGGATTTAAAAGGCCATATTTAAAAGACATTTAAATAGTAAAGCTGATTTATAAGGCAAGTTGAGCGCTCTTACTTTGGAAATAGTTCCACAGGATCCCAACTTTGGCCTTATAGTTTTAGGCAAAGACTTCCATTTTTCATTTATTTGTAAAATGCACTCGCTCATAACTTATTCGAACATTAATTTTGCTGAGCAGTACATTAATGTGTACATGCTGTGGGGGAGACCAAAATATTGAGAATTTCTCTTAAAGTTTGACAAGAGGTCATAAGAACCTCCCGCCCTGGCGAGAAACAGGAACAAAACCGTTTTAACTCTAAACAGTAAGTGTTACTGTTGTATATATCTTAATTGAGGAGAAAATTAATGCTGGTTTGACATGCACATCTAATAGTTTTTAAAACCTCTATGTAAATCAACAGTAAAAGGGGAAAATAAATATGCTAAGAATCAAATTCTGTAGGTCAAGTGTGAAACATTTGTCTGAGTGAGGCCCAGTGACGGTGAGTCACAGAGGTTGTGGTCTGCTCCTCTGCTAAGCCCTTCACTTAGTCACACCTTAGCCTCTGTGTCTGCACTGGCCAGATGGGGTCTGGAGATGCAGTCCCAGATGCTCTTCATACTGCTTCTCACTTTTCAAAAAAATCATTCTTTTTATTGCAGCTACAATGCTGTCGTGATGTGTTCTGTGCCCTGCATACAAATATTCAACACTTTGAGTATGAGTTAGAATACAACCCCTTCCCAAAAAAATGATTTATAATAGTTCAGGAAAATTCTCAGCATTAAAATACTTATCATACACATTTGGCAAAAAAAAAATACATGCAGATTAAAAATACATGTCTGTATATATAGTATAGATTCCATATGCATCTGAAGTTTTTAATTAAAAAATTTTAAATCTGATACTAAGAATTCTAGTACTTTACCAAGGTTTTATAGGGCACAGTACTGCAAGAGATAAACACTAGACTTAAGTTAGAGATTCCTAAGGGGATCACTTTATAAACTAGAGAATTCCATGTAAATATAAAATGTTGGAATGTGAAGGCTGTCATCATATTGGCTGGATATAAATTGAAGTGTCTCCTGGTGAGAGTGAGCATTGGAAAGTGAGGAAACTTGGACGGTCCGCCTCACTTTCCTCCCTGTGGGGTTGTGGTGAGGACAGCGTGAGCAGTATGCGTGAAGCACTTGGTCTAGTGTATTGTGCTGTGTCAGTACTCCAAAAACAGTACGTGTTCTTATTCTTTCATTTTCCAGATATTTATTTGGATTGGCAAAGATGCCAATGAAGTTGAGAAAACAGAATCACTGAAGTCTGGTAAGCCAGATCCCATGAATGATTACGGCAATAAACCTGGTGTGGTTTTTACCAAGGGCCTGACTGTTCTTTCCACCACATCTTCCAAGAGCAGTAGACCCTTTTAAGACTAAAGAATTTCATGATGGACAGGAGAAAATGTTTTGTTATCTAATTTAGAATATAATTATTTCTGAAAAATTTTAATCCACTTAAACTCTTGTTTTATTTTGAAAATAGTAAAAGCTCCGTAACTGTAATAGCATAGATTTTTTTTAAAAAAAACTTCTTTTTGAATAATGCTATTCTTTTTGCACAATTTCTTTTTTGGGGGGTGGGGGTAACTGGTGTTTGAATCAGGGCTTCCCACTTAGTAGGCACTTGAGGTACCCTTTTTTTGTTTTGGCTATTTTGGAGACAGGGTCTTGCTTTTTGCCCAGGGCAGCCTGGACCATGATTTTCCTATTTTATGTTTCCTGCCATTGCTGGAATGACAGGTATGTGCCACCGTACCCAGCTTTTTTTCCACTGAGATGGGGTCTTGCAAACACTTTTTGCACAGGCTGGTCTGGGATGGTGATCCTCCTGAGCTAGAATTATAGGCGTGAGCCACCAGTGCCCAGTCACAATTTTCTTTTTGTTGAAAAGTACAACAGTAATTATGCCATAGCATAATTCCACAAAGTTGGGCATTCTTTCATGCAATAATGAGGTTTTGTCATGCTCTTCCCATGGCAGAAGAGAGAAGTCAATGAGAAATGGCTCACATTTGATTGCTCAGAGGCAATGAAGTCTTAATTCATTACTTTTATTGGCAGAATTTTCATTCTGGTTAACCAAAACTAACCGAATGTATGTTTTTGCAACTCTTTTCAGCCAAAATGTACCTCGAGACAGACCCTTCTGGAAGAGATAAGAGGACACCTGTTGTCATTGTGAAACAGGGGCACGAGCCACCCACATTCACAGGCTGGTTCCTGGGCTGGGATTCCAGCAGGTGGTAAACTGACAAAAGTCAGAAACAAACATTAGGGGCAAATTAGGCAGTTGTCCCATTGCTGTTGAGACTTTTTGTTTGCCTGGCTTTAGAAAATTAACCCCTAAAATGGCTTTTTTTTTTAATGCCTCACATTGGTTTAAAATTCTTTATATTATTTTTTAAAATTCTTTTTAAAAAGAACTTTTCTTGTGTTAATACACGGAAATAGCCTCAAGTAAACTTTTGTTATGAGCCAATATTAGCTCTTCTGGAAACTGATTAATAGCTTTTTATATGACCTTTTAAAAGTAAAAGACTGAACTATCTAAGGGAATTTGTTAGATAGGAAGTTTTGTAATTCAGCAATTATTAGCCAAATAATTCTTTAATTTTTAATATTCCAGAGAAGAAAACCTTAGTGCCTTTGAGGTATTTTTCTTTTCTGTGTGTTGTCTTCAAAAGAACTGTTGAAGACAGTTCTTAAACCTTGCAGTAAGGTTTAAGTTAAGAAGGCTTTAAAACTATTTTGTCTTTCCTCTATAGTGACTTTGATGTCATTAACTCCCAAGTGTCATTTTCTAAGAGAAACTTTTTTTTTTTTTTGCCTTTTTAGGAAGCTTTGAAATCATAGCTTTTTAATGATAAAGCAAATTGTATTCTTATCAGTACATGTGTAACATCACAGAAGATGTTTACAGAAAACCTGTCACTGTCTGTCATTAAAATTCATCCCTTTTGAAAAGGTTTTCCTGTTGTGATATTTTATTCAAACTTGATATGAGTTAATTACACTATTAATTTGAGGTTAAATACTTTTACACATAAATAGATGTGAATTTAGTATTTCTTAAATTCTTCTCATTAAGCAGTCAAAATTTAACAACTTTTCTATGGCTAGAAAATGAGGACAGATTTTAACTATTACACAGTACATATGAAACATGGCCCCAGACAATAGAAGTGGGAACATAATCTAGAGCCCAGTCAACTACAGACCATCTTTGGTAGTGAGAAGGGGACTGGCTGAGAGGTGAAGCTGCACTTTCATGGGAAGGGGAGTGACCTGAGGGACCCTGCCTTCTCTCCCAAGAAGTGATGGGCACACGTGTTTCAGCTTGACTCCTAGGAGCTGGGGGAGGGGGTCCAGTTCCATTACAGTCTGATAGTCAATGGCTTTGTGAGTCCTGGGCTTGTGTGGGAGGTAAGGAAGCAGTTAGAAGTGTCTTCCAGTTACTGGTCATTCAGTAAATATTTATTGAGCACCTCTTTGGTGCTCAATAATAATCCATTGTGAAAGAACCAGACCAAAAAAAAAAAAAAATTCCAATTTTCATGGAGTTTGTATTCCAGGAAAGAAGCCAAGAAAAACAAAACCGATAAGCAAATATATTAAACAATATATTAGAAAATAAGTTCTATGGAGGAGGAAACAGGAGATTAGGGAGTACTGGATGAGAAGTGGAACAGTGTGCAGTATTTGAGGGGTGGGCACTGGGGTTTGAACTCAGGGCCTTGTGCTTGCTAGACCTTACTGATACTAGAGTGTTGTTCCCGAGTTATGTCGTGGTAGAGTCAATGATGAAAACCCTGGACAAACACAAAGTTTATTGAAAGGATAGCAAAGCACCCTGACGGGTGGGACTGAGAAAGAGCTAAGCCAAACAATGGCTGAAGTCTAGATGATACAGGAAGCTGCTCTATAATTGGCTGTCTTGTGAATTTCTTGCTGACCCCATCCTTATCAGACTGGACGTTCCAAGAGGGTCTCTAGTCCATCTTGTTCTTGGGACCTGTCATATACATTCTATGACTACCGTTTGTTATTTTGGTGAGAGCATCCTTTTGCTATTTTGGGGAAATGTGCTGTATTACTTTCCCTAAGGGGTCTATTTTTCATCTCTTTAGATGTGTATCTTTGGAAATGTTTCTTTGTCTTGCTTATCTAGAAGAAAGTTACTTTTGCCACCTGGCTTTTTTTTTTTTTTTTTTAACATTCCTAGAGCCATTTCTGTTTATTCCCCCTCACATTTGCTCCCCTCACACTACCTCTTGAGTCACTCAGCACCACAGGATGCAGTTCTAATAGGGTGGTCAGGGGGCCTGAGAGGTGATAGTTAAACTGATCAATGGAGGTGGGAGTTCATCTTTGTGGTCACACCAGGTAGGAGTGCCAAGCACATCTGACATAAGGGACTGAGGTCCTACAGGGCTCTGTCCCCATCACCTCTGAACAGGAAAGGACTTCATCTTCAGCAGAATTGCATGCTGAGCCTGAGTGTGAGGACACTACCTTCTGAGGCCCCACCCAGAGGTGACAAGTGACAGCAGGAATGATCTGCACTGTACTGCAGGTTGAAACAGCAGGGTGGCCACAGACAGTGCCAGCCTTGCTCTGCTTCTCAGGGTACTTGTGTGCCCCATGCTTAGTAAGCCCAAAGCAGCTGGTGGGGCTAAGAGATTGAGATTTATAAAGTACCCAGAAAGCCTCAGTTGTTTTATTTTACAGCCAGAGCCATATGCTTCAAAGAAACATCTGTAACAAATGTAAAATTGGCACGAAGGGAAAAAAATACCTACTTCTAAAAAAAAAGAACAATAGGGGATTTAAAAAAGGCCCTCAAAGGCCTGTGTGTGCAAGGATTGATCTGCAGTTGATGGCACTGTTGGGAGGTGGTGGACCTTTTAGGAAGTGGGGCCTAATGGAAGGAAGTTAGGTGGTTGGGATCCCTGCCCCTTCCTCTCAGTTTCTCTTTGCTTCCAGGCTGCCATAAGGTGAATAGTTCTTCTCCACCATGTTCTCCCCACCATGATGTTTTGCCATGGGGCCAAGCAACCTTGGATTGTGAGCCTTCTTCCTTATAAGTTGATTATCTTAAGTATTTTGCCACAGCAATGGAAAGCTGACAAAAAACACATTTATTCTTTAAAACATAATATTTGATACCTAGTGAAACATCTCTGACTTATTCCATGTACTACCCTTGTCTCAAATCAAATTTGAAGTAGTGTTATTCTATTTACAAATATGTAGAAGTCAATAGTATAAGATTACTTTCTCATTATTTTAGAAATAGATTCTGATTTTTAAATCAACAAATCCGACAGTGATCTGTTTGTCTCTTCAAATTCTTTTAAACAGTGGTCTGTCTGATTACAACAAAGATTTTGAAATTTTTGAAAATTCTGCAGAGGTGTGTATATCCATGTTAGAGGGCTCTGGCTATGTTAATATAGAGAGGCTTTACTAGGTTCTAAAAACACTGAAAAATACAATAGTATGTAGTTATATTTTACACTTTATTTTTTATCATTTTTATTAGTATAAAATAGTTGTACAGGGAGTTTCATTGTGACATTACCACATATGCATACAATGTTCCCCAGTTTGGTTCATCCTCTCCATTAGTCTCCCACCCCCTTCTTAAAATGACTTCAACAGATTTCAGTGTTCTATATTCATACATGTATTGAAAGTACCTCAACCATATTCACCCTCCTTTACTTTTGATTAGAAAACAGTTGTGCTTCTGGGCAGATTGCATGTGGTTCCTAGACTAGAATTATTTTATACTGTTTTTCGGTTTTGATGTTCAATAGAATGAGGTCAGATATTGATTATGTGTATGTTACAGGCCAGGATACAGCAGAGAGAAGATAAGAAACTAATTTTGTGGGTGGGACACAGAAAATAGGCCATTACTCAGTGTCAGTTAGCTAGAAGTGTTGTGAAGAAAAATAAGACAAAAGAAGGGGATAGGGATTGTGAGATGATGGGTTCTACTTTAGATAGACTCCTCAGGGAAGGACTCTCCAAGAAGGTGACATTTGGTCATAGACCTGAAGGACATGAAGGACTGAGCCCTGGGCATAACTGTGGGTGGGAGGTATAGAGCCTTTCAGTAGAAGGAAGAGAAAGTGGAAGCTTTTAGAAAAGGAAGCTTCTTGGCTTTTCAAGGAATTCTGAGAAAGCCAACATGGCTAGTGTGGATTGAGGTAATGGAGAAATGCAGCAGCTAAAACCAAGAAGGTAGTGGAAGCACAGACCATTGAGAAGTTAAAGAATTTTTATTTTCCCACCAAGTGAGGTTGGCAGAATGAAATGATTTGCCTTACTTTTAAAAGGATCACCTTGGTTCCTGAGTCAAGAAGAGACTACAGGAGGAAAAGCTTCATTTTCCAGCTCTACTGGCTACCTACAGACTTTGTTTTTTTTTTTTTTTTTTTTTTTAACAAGTAGTAAAATAGCATCATCAGAAATCACTCTCTGTCTTCCTATCTGGCCTCATCTTCTATTGGACTCTGGTCCTTCTGTTTTCCTCCTTTACTTACAAGGACCTTTTTGCTACCATTCGGTCTAAATGGATTATAGGGTCATAGGATAATCCAGGATAATAACCTCATACCTGCAAAGCCCTTTTGCTGTGAAGCTAACTTTCACAGGATGCAGACACCTTTATCACAGTGGGTGGATATCTCTGGGGGGCTGTTATTCTGCCTGGGTAGAATACAGTAAAGTTAGTATTCTAGATAGTTGTGCTGTTTGGTAACAGCTGACATATTGAAAACTGGTAGATTTCCCTGCTATCCTCTATCAACTTTGTCTTTAACCTGAAACTTCATTTCTAAAATAAGAAATAAATTGTGCCTGGGGAGAATATAGACAACATTTCATCTCTTTCCTAATCCTTATAAAATTGCTGTTCTTGTTCCAGCCTGACAATTATATAAACTCAGGCAAAAAGAAATCTCTCATGCTGGGCTTATAGAAGGAGGCTGCTGTCTGCACAATTACAGGAACAGTACTGGAAAATCAAAAGTATGTGTGGGACAACTGTAGAGACAAGTGGGTAGAGTATTTCAGTTCAGTTTAACCAATCCCAAAATAATTTCAACTAAGGATCTAATTTAATAAGATAAATTTTGAGAGGTTTTTATTTTATTTTTTTATTCTTGGGCACAGGTTATCTGTGGATTTTATGTATTGGAGGTCTAGTAAGGACATTGCTAGAATGATAAATAATACTCTCAGCAGGTCCTCAGTGAGGGTCAGGGAACAGGCTTCTTAAAGCTCATGATATTCAATCCAGGTTTGAACAAGAGACATCATTATGTTGAGGT